TCCCGCAGGCCTGAACCCACGGCCGCTGGCTGTGGCTGCCTGGGAGCTGTGGTGCCAGCTTCTCCAGGCAGGGGATGTGGTGGGAACTCCGCGGGCAGGGCTCCCCTCCTGGGCCTTCCATTCTGACGCTGGGCCAAGCAGAGGGAAATGCTGGGGGGACGGGGACGTCAAGGAGGGCCGGTCAGGGTGGGTGCCAGGGAGGCCCCCAGGGTTATCTGAGCCCAAGGAAGCGACCGGCAGAGATGGGAGTGCAATCCTGGCCCAGGGACCAGCGTGCAGGGGCCTGAGGAAGAGCTGCGTGGAGAGGGTGAGGAGCGGCCAGGAGCCCTGCTCCAGGGAAAGGCAGGTGCCCAGAGGGAGGAAATGACAGTTTTCGGGAAGGTGTCACTGTGTGACTGTGTGTGTCTGCCTTGCAGCCAAAAATGGAAATGACGCTCCCCCCACCCCACTGCAGGGGAGAAATGGGAGGAATCAGAACCCAACCCAGCCATCCTCCTTGTCAGCATCCTCCATGTCATCCCCAATCCCTGTGCCTACACCACACATGGGGCCTGACCCTGCCATGCTCATGGGGCATCCCCAGCCCCATGGTCTACACCAGACGCTTCCCTTTCCCCATTAAAACTGACCTGTCCAGGGTCCTGCTATCAGTCAGTGAGGGCCTCCACTTGGAAACATCCGAGAGAAAACATTAAAACCCATGCTCCTTTATCCCTTTATTACCCTACCTCCTGTTCATCCCTGGGATTGCCACTTGGGTGTCACCTCCTCCGAGAAGCCTTCCTGGAGTCCCTAAACAGGGCTGGGTAGGCTGGGTTGGGCACACATCCTTCACAACCTCCCACTATCACAGCAGCACATTCACAACTCATTGCGTCAGAGGTTGCGTGATTTCTGTGCCCAACGAGCACAAGCGCCAGGAGGGAGGACTCCATCTGTCCTGTCCATCACGGCATCGCCAGGGCCCAGCACAGCGATATAAAACTGATGCTTGATGGATGCCCGAGGGCCTGGTCCGGGGGCAGCTCCCGGGGAGCTGGGCGCCCGTTGGGAGTGGCCACGGGTCTTTGCAGAAGCCGGAAGGAGCCGAGTTGGCTGTGAGCAGTTGGCTGATCCTGGAGAGGCTGAGCGGGGCTGAGCCGTCGCCGGAGAGCTCTGGACAGGCCCCTAAGAGTGGGCACGTGGGCTCAGGGCATACATAGCCACTGGGGGAGAGGGGGAGGCTGGGCAGTGGGGAGGTCACCGGGTCTCCCCTCCCCTGGGAACTGAGCTGCGACATTGGACTTGAAAGGATGCCTCTGCTCCATGCCGGGGGTGGGGGGGGGGGCGGGGGGGCGGGGGGGGGCCCAGGTAGCATGTCTGACCTCCCGTCTCCGGAGTGGAGGCGACCTTCCACTTGGAGATTCCTATGGCGGGCTTTCTCAGTAACGAAGGGACTCAGCTGCCGGCGGGCCAAAGGGAAGATATGCAAGTGTTCATTCCAGGAGGAGATTCCTCTTTCACAAGGAGGAAAATGTACTTATTGAGCAACTACTGCCTGCAGGGCAGCAGTGTGTCCCCACCTCCGCTCCTGTCCCTGTCCCCACCTCTGTCCCCAGCACAAGGCAACTCCTAATCGGGTCTCTCCCCTGAGGGGCACTCATTTTGACCTCATTCAGGTTTTTTTTATTGTTGTTGTTGTTGGTTTTTTTTTTTGTTTTTTTTTTCAGAGAGGAAGGAAGAGGGAGAGAGAGACAGAAACATCCATGATGAGAGAGAATCATGGATCAGCTGCCTCCTGCAAGTCCCCCACTGGGGATTGCTCTATCCACTGAGCCAAACCGGCTAGGGCCTCACTCAGTTTTGATGTTGAGACCAAGCAAGGACTCCGGACCCAGCCTGCCTGTGTTTGGGTCCTACCTGTGCCACATGACCTTGCCAAAGTACTTAGCGCTCTTTCTCAATTTCCTCCTTTGTAAAATGGGAACCGTGGCTTCAGCCAGTCACAAAGAGCCACATATTGTATAATTCCATTTATAGGAAATGTCCGTGTTAGGTAAGTACATAGAGACAAAAAGCAGATGAGTGGTTGTCAGGGACTAGAGGGAGAGGGGAATGTGGCTCATGAGCTACAGTTTGCCGACCACTGATACCGAGTTTCTTTTAGGAATGATGAAACTATTTTAGAATTAGGTGAAGCTTAAAGAGCTATGACTTACAAAGAGCCTGACAGGTAGAAAGTGGTTTTAAGTCATTGTCAAATAAAACTCACCTCCAAATGAAGGTGTACACACCAATAAGCTTGGAAAAAAATATATTCATAATACAATTCTGAAGTGCAGTCTCATTGCTGAATCTCACGGTGTTGTGTACTTTTCATAAGTCCTGTAATTATGTTGTGGATAACATCGTTATAGTGCAATATAAATTACATAGTGTACTAAGTGTTCATTTGTTACACTTCAGCATGTATTTGAGCCTTGCTTCAGCATTTCTTATTTCTATTCATTCACTCACTCATTCATTCACTCGTTCATTCATTCATATTTTTGCCATATAGGTGTGCCCCCCAAAATGGGAGAGGCCTCAGGGCTCTGAAATGCACCTGGGGGCGCTGTCCTTGACTCAGACAGTTTTAGACAGAGGATCCGGATAACAATAAAAGGTGAGGCTTAATGCAAAGGCATTCAGAAGGTGAGACGGGATGAGGTATGTGACCTTTGTTCGGTTGGCAGAGAACCAGGGAAAGTCTGGCTCTCAGTCCGCGGCGTGGTCTCCTTATTTGCCAGAGGCCGTTACAAGTAAAGTAAAGCAACGACCACAAGGAAGATTCGGAGCAGCGAGTGGCAGGCATCAGGCCCTGTGGAGGGCCCCCTCGGCAAGACCGCCAGCGTGCGGGACAGACGGCGCTCTGGGAGGAGGATGGGAACTGCTGGCCAATTCCCCTGGTGTCCAGACTCCCAGCATGGCTTCCTCCAGGCCTCAGACGTGCTGTCACGGAAGCCGGGGTTGGGAGGAGGTGTGCAGTAGCCAGTGTAACACGCTATTTCTGTTATACAGCTGCAACAGATGTGCGTAACCTCAAAGATGTGCACAGGGAACAGCAACAGTAAAATGATTTTAATTAGAAAAAGCATTTACTTTGTTTTCTAAGTATTTTAATTAGAAAAATTCGGGATTTAATCCCGCATTTGTACCGAAGGCGACTTCCTGACTCCTAGGTGAAATGAGACAAAGCCGGCAGGTTTTTCGTTTGTTTTCTACGAGCCTGGAGTCTTCAAGAGAAGCAGGGGCAAAGGTGGAAGGCAGTGGGCGGCTGGATGGTGGTGGGGGGTAAAGGTTGCCATTAGGCAGCCTCTGAGGAATGTGCACCTCAACCCCTGTCTGTGAAGTGTGTCTGTGAAGTGGGGGGGAGGGGGGGCTCCTCAAAGAACCTTTGGGCTTGCTCAGGTGATGGGAAGCCTGCTCTGCGGTCCCGGGCTGACGGGCCGCCGTCGGGGGTGCATGTTCCTCAGGACGGACTGCAGCCAGCCCAGCGGCTCCTCCGGCCTCGGCGAGGGCGTTGCCTGGCTTCCCGGGACTCCGCGTCCCAGCTTCCTGGTGGATGTCGGAGGAGCACCGCAGGGCCATTGCGTCCCTTTCCCAGACCTTCGCCTTCCTCCCCGTCCCCACGTGGAGATGGGCTGATAGCCGCGGACGTGCCACTCAGCGTCTCCATGCCAGCCAGTGTTTGTTTTCTTCGGTGTTTACTGGCTCACCTTGGTCATCTGACTAGTACTCTCTGGGCCTGTATTGTTTGTCCAGCGCGGTCAGCACCACCGAGAGGGGCATGTGGGAGGGGCTGGGAGGACTTGGGAGGATTGGGGAGGCTCCCCTGCTCCCGCTGGGAGAGCCCGTCTGATGGATTCAGATCAGTTCCTCTCGGGCACCAGTGTGTTTTCCAGAAAAGTCCTACGTTTGCCCAGCCTCTAGGCCTCCCATGATGGTGCTCCTTCCGTCTGGAAAACGCTTTCTCCACCCTTTCCCCCTGTTGGCTGGGGTGGGGAGAGGAATAGGACAGGGACAGGCACCCCTACTCTGAGCCAGCCCCGCGGGACCCGGCTGACCCCTGTCCTCAGGGAGCTTACAGTCACGGGGACGCTAAAGCATGGCATCTGGGAGAGCAGTCTGTCCAGGGCCGGGCGGGGCATCAGGACACATTAGTCATTTCTCCTGGGTTGGGGAGTGGCCTTCTGTGATGACAGATGAAAGGGAATGTGCCAGGTGGCCAGGACCGGACAGGAAGGGCACTCTTGGCTGAGGGAATGGCTTGAACTCAGGATCTGAGTCAGGGGGTGTTGAGCTGAAATAAAAAGCCCAAAGCTCCTTGGCGGCGGGATGGGAGGTGCAGGTCAATCTCCTTAAGGAGAAGAGCCTGAAACGGCTCCGCCAAGTAAAAAAGGCAGAAGGCAAAACATGTTTGAAAATAGGGAGGGAGAAATTGGGCATGGATTCTGGATGCTTCCTATTGTCTCTGCTCCCCTGTGGGTTTAAATTTAAAATAGTTGCCGGTATTACCTGCTGCCCACGCACCCCTCGGGCTGCAGGGGGCGCAGCCTCAGACACACGCGCTCCCCGGCAGGTTAGTGGGCGGGGCCTGCTGTGCCCCGCGGGGCTGACCATTGGCCAGCGGGGCTGTCCGTCACGGCCCCCCGCCCCCGCTCTACGTCACATGACGCAGCCATCATGGCGGCGGGAGCGCGGCTGCCGGGGCCCGGGGCTCCGCAGGGCTGCTGCCGTTGCTGCTGAGAGGCGGCGGCGGCGGCGAGGCGGGCGGGCGGGCGGGCGGGCGGGAAGGATGGTGGTTCTGCGGCCGGAGCGGCGGGTGCGGACCGGGGGCCGGGCTGAGGTTTGGCCGAAGCGACGCGCGCTCCGGAGCCGCCGGCGCGGTGCGGCTGAGGCGGCGTGAGAGGAAGGAGCGGCGGCGGACGCACTGACGGGAGGCGACCCGAGCGCCGGCCCCGGGCCGTGCCGCGGGCGAGATGCCGGGGCGGCCGGCGCCGCTGCTGCTGCTGCTGCTCCTGGCCGCCCGCAGCGCCCGGGCCGTGCCGCTGCCGCTGCCGCAAACAGGTGCAGGTGAGCGGGGGCCGCGGGGCCGCGGGGCCCGGGCTGCGGGGCTGCGGGGCCCGGGCTGCGGGGCCGCGGGGGCCGGGCTGCGGGGCCGCGGGGGCCGGGCTGCGGGGGCTGCGGGGCCCGGGCTGCGGGGGCCGCGGGGCCGCTGGCACCGGCGGGAGGCGGCAGGCCGGGGCGGCCTCGGCGCCGAGCGATCGGAGGGCCTGCGGGGCCCGGAGGCCCGGGAGGCGCGGGGAGGGCGGCTGGTGCGGCAGGCGCGGGGGCGAGGCGGTCGGGCTGGGCGGGCGGCGAGGCGGGCAGCGCCGAGCCCTCCCGGGCGGCGGGCTGCGGCTGGGGCTGGGGCTGGGGCTGGCCCCGGACCTGTTGCCTGGAGGCCTTCAGCCCCCATCCCGCCTGGCAGAGGTGCTCCCTCCCCAGGCGCACCTGCCCCCTGAGCGTCTCCTCTCTTACTCCGCGCCACCTCAGTGCTAGCGCCCGGGGCTCTGCGGAGCCTCCTCCCGCCCCGCAACTTGCTCTGAAGTTACACATCCATGGCCGATGCCGTGCTTCTATTCGGGTTGAACCTCGGGGGATGAGAAGGACACAACTCTATAAATATTCCTATGTTAGGGAGCCAGTGATTAAAGTAGCGCCTTTGAATACCTATTGACAAAACGGCCCAAGGGTGAGTGAAGTTTCTATTTTGGCCAGGTCTGTGATTTTCTTTCTATTTTAGCGATGCCGTTTTCATTTGCGGTTTATTTTCCGAGATAAAACATCAGCCCCAGAAAGCACCCCAAGTTGGGTGTCTTTTTTTTTTTTTTAAGGAACAAACAAAAAAAAAGTCTAGACTAATTTGTCGTTACCATCTGCTGCTTATCTTTGAAATGAAGAGACGGAAATTCCATAGAATTTTCTGTATTTCATTGTTCTCTTGGTTAAATTTGTTGGGGTGGCATTGGTCAACGTGAGCACATAGGGTTCAAGTGCGGTTTCTATGTGTACCAGGTCTGTATACGGCACTGTATGCCCGCCACCCAAAGCCAAGTCTCCTCCTGTCACCATCATAGTATTTTCGAGTTGGAATAGACCCTAAGGAAAATTTAATACAATTTCTTCACTTTTTAGTTGAAGATATGGAGGCCATGGGGGTGTCAGATGACCTACACAAGGTGACAGCTGTATTGTAGGTAGAATCATAACTAAAACCCAGGTCTTAGATCCCCTGCTTGTGTGATTCAAGGCTTGTGACTGCTTAGGAGTACTTTGAAGCTGAGGATTATTTTAAAATGCCGGTAATTGGGGACCAACGTGGACCTTACCATCCCCAGCAAAGATATATTTTCAAACACGCCTGCAGTGAAGGCTATCTGCAATTATTTTCAGAGCTATCTCAGGCTATGTCATTGAATATCCTTTAGTTGAGTATTAACTATTATCATTGTGTCACATAATGTATTACTGAATTTCTGCCACTGCCTTAGATCAAATATTTGTAAGGTGAATTCTGTTTTCTGATGTGATAGATAAGAAGAGTGACTATTATTAGAAGTGTATAGGCAGGCCAGGTAGGAGTCACAGAAAGTATCTGGCAAGTTATAAAAGACTGTATGGCCCTAGCTGGTTTGGCTCAGTGGATAGAGAGTCCGCCTGGTGACTGAAGGGTCTTGGGTTCGATGCTGGTCAAGGGCATGTACGGGGGTTGCAGGTTTCATCTCTGGTCGTGGACGCGCAGGAGATAGCTGATAGATGATTCTTTCTCATTGATATTTCTCTCTCCCTCCCTCCCTTCCTCTCTGAAATACACACACACACACACACACACACACACACACACACCCCTTGAGTGGCCAGATTATTATGGTCTCTGAACACAGAGTGTGTGTGTGTGTGTGTGTGTGTGTGTGTGTGTGTGTGTGTGTCTGTGTGTGTTTAAAAACTGTATGGAAAGATTTTGATACTGGTATTGAAAGATATTGATGGTTAAATTGAAAATTAGGCCCAGAGTAGGATAATGGATAAAGAGTGGAAGGGATTCAAGAGTTTCCAGATGACTTGCACTTAATCGAATATTTTTGTATTTTGAAAAAACGGATCCTATGTAGGAACCTGTAGAAATTTGCCTTTCTATAAATCGCTTAATGTGTTTTTTAAATGGTGGGGTATAAATAATAAAATATAAAATTTTTGAATGCTGTAAAATTAGGAAAATTAATTCGTAAATAGAAGTATCAAATCTTGACATAAATGATTAAAAAGTACTTGGTGATTTATAGCAGCTTTTTACAATTTTCCTTCATATTTTATTGCTTGGAAGGTGTATGGTTAAACATGATGTTATGACTGACATGTAAATAAAGTTAAATTCTAGCCAAAACCGGTTTGGCTCAGTGGATAGAGTGTCAGTCTGTGAACTAAAAGGTTCCCGGTTCGATTCCGGGCAAGGGCATGTACATTGGTTGCGGGCACATCCCCAGTAGGGGCTGTGCAGGAGGCAGCTGGTCAATGTTTCTGTCTCATCGATGTTTCTAGCTCTCTATCCCTCTCCTTTCCTCTCTGTGAAAGATCAACAAAAATATATTAAAAAAAATAAAATAAAGTTAAACTCTGTGGAAAAGATGCACAGTCACACCTAGGTGTGGGGTTTGTATTTCCATCTAGAAGAGATTATTAATCCTGGTAGCAGAGCTGGATTCTAGACCAAGGAGAGTAAAGAAACCTTGGAACTAATACTCATAAGAGAGGATTATGAAAGATATACCCCCTTGGAACATATATGGCAGATAAAGAGCAGTTAAACATTGAAAACATAATAACAAGCTTTTAATTATCTGCAGGGCTGGCCATTGTCAAATTAAGGGTAGATCATTGCTTGGGGTCTTTTGCCTCAGCCACATTCTTTCTACTTAAAGTTCAAATTGGTTAATAATGTCTTGGAGAAAGCATGACTAAACAAAACCAGGTTGGAAAAAATACCTGGATTTTATCCTTTGCCAGCCCATTTGCATGGGGAAAGAAATGAGGCAACTTATTAAAACTCAGAGTTTAAATTGAAATTCATTATCCAAGGGTTTTTTTTGTCATCCAAAATAATTTCTAGATTCAGAAGTTAACAAATATGTATCCACTTCATCATAATAAAACTTTGTAAATATGGCGAGGCAAAAGGCATTTCTTGATTGCATGTTATTTTGGGCCTCTCTGTCTCTCTGGGGGTCCCTCACACCCTCTCCGGAAGCTGCTTTTCCTGAGAATCTGTATTTCTGCAGACACAGAAATATCCTTGTTAGTAGACTGGCATCTTGCTGGCCCTCACTGGGAAGCTTTCACAGAGGGAGAAAGTCTGCTGTTTTCCCACAGTTAAATTGCCGAACTAAGATTACAGCTAAGAAATTCTTTTCTGCAGATCATTGCGTCCCCTTATGTGCCGTTCATTCGATTATTCCGGATTCACGTAAGAAAGGAAGATCTTGTCTGGGTGAAGGCATTGCTGGGGCCACGGTGTATTAGCACTAGGTAGTGGTTAGGCAGGGCAGCCACTTCCGTGGTGCTGTGGCAGATTAGAGCAGAGGAAGCGTGAGCAGCTCCAGATACAGGACCTCCCGGAAGTGGGGGGCCCCCGGGGACTGAGCCGCTGATCAGAAAGCAGCTCGGGAAACCGAGGCTCTCGTTTTAGGTGAAACACACAGACTTGTATCTTGAACAAGATTCCTGCCGTGAAGGTAGTGCTTTCTACAGTTTGAACTTCTGTGTTGATTAGAACAGCGTCTGAGAAAAAGTGTTTTCAATGAGCTTCCCGTGCAAATTACTTCAGGATCTGTGGCCACAGAGCTTGAGATCCAGGTTGGGGATGCTCTACTTGCTTTCGGTGGGTGATATTTGTGGGTTAACTAAATATGCTCCTCTGCCCAGTAATAGGAAGTCTGTCCAACAACTTGTAGCTGATTAGCATTGCAGCTCTCAAATTCCTACAGTTTTGCTGATACCGATGTGCTGACTGTTTATGAAATGTACAGTCCTCGGGCCCCTGTGTCCCCTGTGGGCTGTGTCGCTTAGATAACGGCTAGTATGTACAATAAAAAGGACTTTGAGGTGTGAGGAAGGGATGACCAGGGTTCTGAGATACTTAAACAAGCGCTCAAAAGAGTCCTAGTAGGTGGACACGTAACAAGTTTTCCAGCCTCTCGTTGAGAGTAAAAGGAAGAGCAGGTGCGGTAAGTGAGGTTTGGACTTCGGAGTTGGCCTTCCTGTGCCACTCCACTGGCTTTAAGACCTTGGCCAGTTCCCTGACCTCTCCCAGGCTTCTTAGATCTCAATCATGAAAACAAGATGACGGTAATATTTACCCGAAGGGTGCTGGGCAGGTGAGGTGGAGGCCGGCACACGGCATGGCTGTGCCTGTGGAGCACTCAACAACAGTCTACTTTGCCTCTGACTTGTAAATTGAGGGGGTATCAGAGAATTGACTCATGAGGAGTGGGGTGGCTTCAGAGAGGGACTCAAAGTGGAACGCCTAGAACTTGCTGGATTTAAAAAACGTGGTTACTCAAAATAATTCGTTCTGTGATGGGTAGAGAAAGACCCCGTTAAGTCTAGCCTGAGTATGAGATACAGGCTGGTGGTGTTGCTTCTTGAAATTGATAATGCTGGGAAATTATGCCAGAAATGTAAAAGGTGACCTGGATCACTCCACTTTTATGGAATAAACTTGGTCGTAAACATCAAGACACCTAACGCTCTCGCTTGTGAACAGCTGCTGGTTTTCATTTAAAGGAGCCGAGAGCGATCTCGGTTAGTTGGCCCCAAACAAAATTGTCTACTCGCATGAAGCATCCCTGCAGGCAGCCAGGCAACCTGGACCCACAGGCTGAGGCTGCCCTTGGAAAATGCCATTTGGAGCGATGACTCTGTCTTTCCTTCTCTTTTAAAATCATGCATTTCTGCAGCCTCCTAGCTGTGCGTTACTCTTTTAAAATGTGTGCTTATTACTCTGACATGAGGAAAAGAATATTTCAGAAAGAAGC